GTATTTTAGTAAATTTTTTATAAAATATTTTTCCATTCTAAATATGAAATATGTGATAATTTCAATTGAAATGCATTAAGAGAGCACAATATTCACAGATCAAAGGAATCAAATATGCTTTTATTTTCTGTTTTTTTCAAGACAAGTTTTCTCCATGTAACAGCATTGGCTGTCCTGGAAATCATTATATAGACCAGGCTGGCTTTGAACTCACAGAGATCCACAGCCTCTGCCTCCTAATTGCTGGATTAAAAGCATGCACCACCACTGCCTGGCCAACAAACTTTCATAAGTTCTGGTGACTACAGGACCCAGAACTCAATCATGACATAAAACACTCTTACCTCTTCTAATTTGCACTTTCTCTCCAGTCAAAACTTTTTGCTTCAGAGGTCAGTGCTGTCTATATTTCTAAACTAAACCTTAAAGTGCAAATTGAAAGAGTGCAACATAATGCTTGATATACGTGTGGTTGTTATAGTTGAACAAACTAACACATAATTATCACATTTAAATATTCATTTTTTCCCGTGACCAATACTTCATTCTTAGAAAAATTCCTGAGTACAGTTTACTGTTATTACAGTGAGATCCCATCCTGTTTATTACTCTTGTGGTTTGAATGAGAATGGTTGCCATAGGCTCATATAGTTGAGTGCTTACTGCTAATTGGTGGGAATATTTGGGCAGGATTAGGAGGTGAGGCTTTGTTAAGAGGCATGACACTAGGGGTTGTCTTTAGGATTTCAAATACTTGGGCCATTTCCAGTTCCACTTTGCACACCTTTGGATTAGATGTAGGCTGTCAACTACTTCTTTAAAACTATGCCTACTTTCATGCTGCCACGCTTCCTGCCATGGTGGTCATGTTCTCCAACCCCATGGAACTGTGATCTCCCAAATTAAATGCTTCCTTTTAAATTGCCTTGGTCGTTGTTTCTCATCACAGCAATAGAAATGTAACTAAAACAGAAGTTGGTGCTAATGAGTGTGCTATGGATGTAAAAGAACTGCCCATGCTGCTTTTTCAAGGAATGCTGAGGTCTATCTAGGGGTCTTTGAACTAGGGAAGCAGTTCAATGTTGTAAGTGAGGTTTAACAGACCATTATAGTAGGAACTTGGACGATAGTAATGCTGAGAGCATTGTAGACTATGGAGGTCCAGCTCAACAGGGGAACACTTTCAGCATCTATGCTAGAGACCATTCTTGTGATACTTTGCAAAAAATGTGGCTGCTATTTCCTCTTGTCATGAGTATCTGCCTGAGGCTAAATGGAAGAGTTTGGTACTACTTTTGTTGGCAAAGGACATTACGTTTACAATGAAAAAGAAAAAGCAGGGCAAAAAAAGAAATTTAAATGTACAATTGAAGAAAAAAAGATATCAGGATATTAAATGTTGGAGCTAAATCTTGTGCTCAGAGAGATAGTAGTTTAAAGAAAGGCCTGATGTGCAATGGAACAAAGGGGATGCTGCTCTCAGCGCAGGAACTTATCCATCTAAAATTCCTACTAGAAAAAAGCAAGTGCCTAAAGACTTTCCTAAAAGAAAGGAAAACTTATTCATCAAAAGAAAGCAACAAATTTAAGTTTATGTAAATGTCATTGAAGGAAAAATTCAAGTTTCATTCTAAGCAGAATACAGAACTTGGTAGCATCAGCCATGTGGTTTTGGTCTTTGAGTCAAGAAGGATTCAGGAGTAAAGTGGTCATGGAATCTTTTTTTCATGCTTAAGGAAAGCCACTGAGGCCAGGCATGTGGCAGGGGAATCTCTGCATGGAGACCTGGAGAGGACATTGTGTGAAGCTGTGAAAGTGAAGCCTAGATTTAGCTGAAGACTCTAAGATGTCTGAGCCAGCAGAACTTTGGGGTACCTGCCAAGGAGAGCTGCATAGAATGAGTGGAACCAGTCCAAAAGAGAGACGTGTACTGCAGTCATCAAAGCTGAAAGGACAGAGCCATCTCAGCCTTCTGACATCAAGATGTGGAGCTACAGGATTTGTAGTTTACCCTGCTGAATTTTGATTTTGTTTTTGCCCAGTATTTCTTGCCTATGCTCCCATATCTCCCTTCTGTATAATAATATATGCTCTCTGCCTTGCATGTTGGAATATATACTTTGTTTTTGATTTGACAAAGGGTACATATATATACAATAGAGAAATTGCCTTGAGTCATAGAAGAGATTTTGGACTTGTAAACAGTGTTGGGATTGTGAAAAACTACAAGGACTTTTCAAGTTAAGCTCAATGCGTTTTCCAAATAAGTAAATGATGAATCTCAAGGAGCTAGAAAAAAAAAGATAGAAAACCAACATCAAAACTACTAGAAGAGAATAAGTTATAAAGATCAGAGAAGACATCAATGAAGTAAAGATTCAAACAAAATAGTGACAAATAAAACAAAGAGCTACATCTTTAAAAAAAGAATTAGTGATCTTGTGGCATATGGTAGCTTGTCTGACTCCATATTAAAAAGGGAAACTGAATTGAAAGGCTTTCCTCTAGACTAACTTACAAAAAGAGATGTAAAACTCAAATATATAGTATCATTTGTGAAATAGACTTCAGGGGTGATATTGCTGAACTGGAAAGGAGTATTAGAGATTCTTATGAGCATATAGATAATAAAAGCTTGATAGCCTAATAGAAATGGACAGACCTGGAGATGTATGCATCACTGCTCACCATGATAATTTCATGAAGACACAAATTAGTGATGAGACTGGAGATGTGACTCAGCATTAAAAGCACACTCTACTCTTGCAGAGCACTAGAGTAGGTTTCAGCATCCATACCAGATATCTCACAGCCATCTTTAACTCCAGTTCTGGAAGGATCCCAAGCTTCTGGCTTCCATGAAGTCCAGAAATGCTCCCCACCACACACATATACAGTTACACAGACATATATAGAGACACACACACACACACACTCACACTCACAGAATTTTATATATATATATACAAAAAATGAAGTCTTAAATTAAAGAAACAACAAAAATGATTCTGAATCCACAATTAAAAGCCTTAGTCCAAGAAAATCTCAGAATCACAAAGATCACTGGTGAGTTCTAGTTAACAATTAGGGAGGAACAGACATGAATTCCACGAAGAACTACAGACCAATATCTTTGAAGAAAACACTTGCAAAAATCTTTAAAAAATAACAATAAAGCAATTCCAATGGTAAGAGGCTGTGGGTGGGGACTCTTCAAACTCCATGGCCATCAGACTGTTAAACCAGGTGAGGCAAGAAGGAAATTCGGTTTAACATGATTCAGTACATGTTGGTACAAACTGTGATAGTCTGACACAGGGAAGCCTATTTTAGGCACATTTAAACATGGAAAATTTGGGAAAATAGTTCCCTGGTGATAATTCAATCCAGTCTTCACAATAAAGCTTAAGATGTGACTACATAGAATGTGTTTTTACAGAACCTGTGATATCTTTCATACAGATGGATTCTATAGGATGACTAACAAAAAAACAAGCTCATGATAAGGATGTAGTGGAGGATCTGATGTGGTCTTTGTCCTACAGAAAGCACAAAAGTTACCAGGCTACTAATAACATCCTCTCCCAGCTTTCTGGGTAGATAACACATTACTCTTTTATCCCTTTAGAAAGAAAATCCTATGTGTTTAATAGTCCTGGTTTTGCTGGTGCTTATCTGTGAGCACAAGAACATCTGTTCTCCTAAATGGTAGGTGAGAACGATTATTCATAACAATG